TGATTGTGTAATCAATCTATTGAAACTACAAAACTTTGTTCTTGAATCTTCTTGGTGAAAGACAAAATTCAATGAAACAATGTTGATTGATGTACATTGACACAGAAACATTGATTGTGTAATCAATCTATTGAAACTACAAAACTTTGTTCTTGAATCTTCTTGGTGAAAGACAAAATTCAATGAAACAATGTTGATTGATGTACATTGACACAGAAACATTGATTGTGTAATCAATCTATTGAAACTACAAAACTTTGTTCTTGAATCTTCTTGGTGAAAGACAAAATTCAATGAAACAATGTTGATTGATGTACATTGACACAGAAACATTGATTGTGTAATCAATCTATTGAAACTACAAAACTTTGTTCTTGAATCTTCTTGGTGAAAGACAAAATTCAATGAAACAATGTTGATTGATGTACATTGACACAGAAACATTGATTGTGTAATCAATCTATTGAAACTACAAAACTTTGTTCTTGAATCTTCTTGGTGAAAGACAAAATTCAATGAAACAATGTTGATTGATGTACATTGACACAGAAACATTGATTGTGTAATCAATCTATAAAAATTCATTAAACTATTTTAGCTTTCCTTTAATTAATTTTATTATTTTAATTATTTGATCATTAAGTCTCATTGTTTTACAACATCCCCATTCTCTCATTATCTTCGTTTAAATTAATATCTATTTTTAGATTTATTATTATATGAACTTTTGTTTAGGTTCTTTAAAAATAAGTTTCTTTGCGAGAATTAATTATTTTTTGTTTTCCTAAACTTACACATTTATAATGAACATTCAAGCTAAATCGACATTGTTTTGATAATTAAATATGCATTTAATGAAAATATTAATTGTCACTTTTTATATTTGTTAATGAAAATGATTTTTAAGTTATAAGGTGCCATAACAATTGACAAAGAGTTATACATTTGTACAAACACATTTGTACACACTAGCATATTGTAGCAGTTTATATTATAAATAAAGATTCGCTTTATTTTACGAGTTTCAAATTTAGATCTGAACCATGTTGAAGATCTTTCAAATCAATACGACAAATACATTTGTACACACTAGCATATTGTAGCAGTTTATATTATAAATAAAGATTCGCTTTATTTTACGAGTTTCAAATTTAGATCTGAACCATGTTGAAGATCTTTCAAATCAATACGACAAATACATTTGTACACACTAGCATATTGTAGCAGTTTATATTATAAATAAAGATTCGCTTTATTTTACGAGTTTCAAATTTAGATCTGAACCATGTTGAAGATCTTTCAAATCAATACGACAAATACATTTGTATACACTAGCATATTGTAGCAGTTTATATTACAAATAAAAATTCGGTATTTATTTTTATAACTTATTTTTTATTACATAGATTTTAATTCTAACCGAAAAATATTTCTAATCTATTTATATACATGTATTTTACTTAATGACATTGATGATATATGCAATTTATATGCACGTTTATCAATTATCAATATGAGCCATTGTATTGTTCATGGTAGTAATATTTTGAATTTTAATAGTTGTTATCAACACCACGTAGCTTTTTGTCCTAAATTTATACTATTTGGTTCCGAAATAAGATTATAAATTTTTAAATTTAAATTCGACTTTTAAATACACTACTGATCGATTGCTTATATTGAGTTTCTGCTTTGCAAACAAGTTGAGGTTATAATTGTAAGTTTATTTGTATGAAATAAGAAATAATATATGTGACATTTGGATTTTATGCTACCATTTTTCTAAACAGGTGGTAGTGAGTCATTCACTTAAATATTGAGTAATCTTCAATAATGTGTAACGAAGATTTCTCTGAAACCATTAAAATAACGTATATAAATAATCGTATGTCAAAATGTGTGCCTATTTCAATTTTGCACACATTTTGACAGAAATTTGAATGAAATTTAGAGGTTTTTCTTCAAATTTGAATGATGCTTGTCAGAAAAAGTGTCAAAATGTGTGCAAATGTGTGCATTTTATCCATCTCTATTCTCTCTTTTATTACTGTAGATATTTGAAAGAAGTTATTCTTCCTCCATATATTATAAGTATAGGATCTTCTTGTTTTCATAGTACAAGCAATCTCACATCAATAGATTTGCCAGATTCTGTGGTAACTATATCTGATTATGCTATCTACGCATGTGCTATGACAACAATAAACATTTCTCCTAATTCTCAATTGAAAAATTTAGGTTTTTATTGTTTTAGCATGTCAAATCTTTCTTCAATATTTATTCCAAAATTTGTAGAATCCTTTGATTCAAGTGTTTTTCGTGATTGCCCAAATCTAATAAATATAACAATTGATCCAGAAAATGAAAAGTTTAAAAGTTATTCCCATTCCATTTATACAGGAACAGATAATTCGACATTATTTTGAGTTGGTGCAGCATATTCAGGTGAATACACTGTTGCTAATTATGTTACAACTATTTATGAATATTGTTTTTATTATTCAAATATTTCATCCATCAAACTTCACAATGGGATTACAACTATTCAGCAATATGCATTCTATTTTTGTCAATCATTGGCAGACATTACAATTCCAGAGAATGTGGAATCTATTGGATATGGTGCATTTGGATATTGTGAATTTTTAACAAACGCAAATATTAAATGTAATATACTATCAATAGCAAGCGATTTATTTACTAACTGCAAATCGATTTTAAGTATTATAATTCCAGATAGTGTCACAGAAATTGGTAGAGATGCATTTTATCAATGCGTGTCACTAAACAATATTTCATTACCTTCAAATCTTCGATATATTTATAATAGCGCATTTGTGTCATGCATTAACTTAAAGAATATTTGCATTCCACAATATATGGCACAGATTTATGATTATGTATTTCAACATTGCATATCGTTAACAAACATCACATTCCAAGGGAATATAATATCTATTGGTAGTGCAGTGTTTTTTAACTGTACAGCATTAACAGAAATTATATTACCAGATACTGTTGAATCTATTGGAGGCTATGCATTTGATGCCTGTATATCATTAGCAAATATTGTAATTCCACCAAAAGTAACACTTATTAATGATCGTATATTTCAAAAGTGTATATCACTAACAAGTATCATATTCCAAGGAAATATTACAAAAATTGGTGATGATGCATTTTATAATTGTACTTCATTAAAATATTTTACTTTTCCAGATAGTTTAAGTGAAATTGGACAAAGTGCATTTTATCGTTGCTATTCATTAGAAAATATTACATTTCCAGGAAATATAACGTATATCAAATATAGTGCATTCAAAGATCGCACAAATCTAAAAAATGTTTCATTCCAAAACAATAATAATAGATTATTACTTGCTGAAGAAATATTTTTTGGTATTATGCATCCAATGAATATTTTTATTCAAGGTAATCTTACTATCTCGACATATTATGATAACTATTTCCCAAAAAGAAGCAATCTGTATATTACAAATGAAACAATTCTATCAGAAAGTTGTAAAGACTTTTTTGGTAAACAATCAGTTTTTGTTCATAAATCAGATGAATCAACTTTTATATCAAATGAAATGACAATTAATGTCATTGATTATATATCAATTCCATCAGAATATCCAAAAACAGTAGAAAATATTTATCATCATTCTAAGTTAGGGTTGTTAGATTCCCGACGATAGGTGTCTTGGAAGATTTGCCTGGTGTCATCATAGTGTCTTTAAATCAAAAATTTTATTTTGGAGTTAGTTTTATTGATTTTTCAATAAAAAACATTTCTAAAACAAGAAAATAAAACGATAAAATATTTATATTTTATATAAGGATCTTATATATTTAAAATAAATATCATTTTATTTTTTTCATTGGTGTCTGTCAAACCATAATACACTATTCAAAAATTCAATGTGTCTTGCGGTTTCAAAAGACACCTTCAAATTGAACGATAGCACAGACACTATTGAATTTTACCCATTGTATTTAGTTTTTACCCTTTTTATTTTTAAGAATTAATGACTGAAACAGCCGTTTTGCTATGACCTCAATCACTTTTATTTATTATTTTAAATATTATTTAATTTTATTATTTGAATAGGCCAACTTATATTTGAGAAGCTCAGTTTGAGACCACTTAATACATTGAAATATCATAAATATTGAAATATTAAAAAGTGTATTTCAAAATATTGAAATTATAAAAATTTATAATACTGAAATTGAGACAAATTAATAAATTCAATGTGTTTTTTTTTGAAATAACTCTCAAATATTATTTTTTTGTTTATTTAATGATGAATAAATATGATTGCTTTAGTCAATCATAAAAACTAATTTAAGTTTAAAATAATGAAAGGATAATTTGATCGTTTTTTAAAATACAATTATTTTTGATGATTTGCAAGAATCTTTGAAAAGAATATAATATAGGTTCTATTTTTGTAAAATTTATCCAAATCATGTATTACATAAATTACGATTAAAACGATGAAAGAACCAAAAAGTGTGTTTTGTGTTTTGTTGTTGCGTGTTTGGATGCGGGATCCTGTTATTTCCGAAATCGACAAAAAATTTGGAAATTTAATTTCCGAAATCGAAATTATATTAATGTTTTTAATATTCTTATATCAAAAGGATTAAGGTTCATTAAGAGAAAAACAATTCTTCTTCTTCAATCTATTGGCGCATTTATTTCTAAACGCCAATAAGGAAGGGAAAATTATAAGACACCATGGTGTCTTCAAAACGCTAATTTTTGATATTTTTAACAACCCTATTCTAAGTATTTTCATCTTGTTTCAATTTTCACATCGCTCAAGAGATAATTTTGTTTTTCAATAAAAATTGGAATTTTAAATATAAAAAGATGTTTTATTCACTAGAAACAGTACCTCTAGTAATACTATGATATTATTTGAATAAAAGTATATTTTTCATATATTTAATATAAATTTGGACAGATTTTTGCATACCCTTTAAGATATTTATATATTTTTCTCAGAAATTTCTTCCCACTTAGAAATGAAAGCACTGCAGCCACTCAAGTACTCAGACAATAGAACAATTGTGGAGCCGTCCTTCATCTCCAATTTAACTTCTTTAAGAGAACTACTGTGTTCAACAAGTCCAACAACACTAACAAACTCTGTTTGGATTCTCAGATTAAATGTGTCAAACAAACTCATGAAGTTTTCTTCATTTCGACATGAAACAATGAAATCATTCATAAGTAATGTATCAACGTAATCAATCATGTGATACATTTTTGTCTCCTTCTTCACTGACCTCTGTTTGACGTTGATTTTTGATTCATTTTGTGTTGAAAATGGAGAAACTGGTTTTACGTCTAAATCTATGTCATCAAAGTGGTCAATGATGAAGAAAACATTTGTGAAATCAAGAATACGTGACAACCTCTGCGGGAGAATGAATGTAAGACGAAGAAAATCGTTCATTCCGTTTGGATTTGAAATTATATTCTTAATTTCGTGTAAAATCGTGTTAAATTCGTGCAAAAGAGTATCACTAACTGATTATTTCTTGCAATAATATGATAAATATTTATCCATACTCTAAAAATATGGAAATTTTGTTGTGCTTCTAAGTAATCAAATCTAAAATAGAAAATTGTAAATTGAGGTGTTAATCTCATGATAACAATAGGTATTTGATTGAATAATTCTTGTATATTTATTATAAATACATTTTTTTTATAAAAATTTCATTGATTCTAAATGAATTCGTATATTAATGACTTACCAAGATTTAGTATATGAATGATATGAGAAATTCTTATAGCTGAAATATTTTTAAGATATTGGATAGTGGGAGTTCATTTAACAAAATTGAAAAACAGATTTTTGAGATAACACATTCAATCAAATTAGATTATGATAGTTTCATATGATGAAATCGTTTCATTTATATGTTTTTTGATTTATTCGTCTTTTGGATTACCGTGCTTGAAGTGAAACAGAATTTTCTTTTAAGAAAATATTCAAAAATTTCTGAATATTTATATTCAGAAACAAGTATTATTCGAAATCGAAAAAATGTTTATAATTTTTGGATTATTTCTATCAAAAGGTTCATTTAAATTGAGAATGAAAATTTATGAAAGTATTGAAAAAATGAAAATTGATAAATTTGAGCGTTATGATAAAAATTATTCGAAATCAAATCATTATTTGATAAATATGTTTAAACAAGTGTGTGTTACAGGTTCTACAGGTGTCATGGGAAGCGAGACAGTGAAACAACTCTCAACACTCGAAAACTTGAAAATCAGAGTCTTTGTCATGAACAACGAAAAAGACAGGAAGATTGCAGAATCACTCGTTCGTAAGTATGGAAGTGACAAGATCGACATTTTCTATGGAGATCTCAGAAATTACGAAGACGTTTCAAAGTTCGTTCAAAACGCAGATTATATTCTACACATCGGAGGTCTTGTCAGTCCTGTTGCAGATGATAAGCCAGTCCTCACATACGCTGTCAACGTAGGAGGTGCAGAAAACATTGTGAAAGCAATTCACGAAAACAAGATCGAAGAAACAGTCAAAGTTGTTTACATCGGAAGTGTTGCAGAGACAGGAGATCGTAATTATCCAATCCACTGGGGAAGGACGGGTGATCCAATCCAAGTTTCCGTATATGATCACTATGGTGTCTCTAAAGTTGTTGCAGAGAGAATATTCGCAGAGAGTGGAATCAAGCATTGGGCAGTCTTCAGACAGAGTGGAATATTATATCCTGGATTACTGAACAACATGAAACCAATCATGTTCCACGTCCCATTGAATGGTGTCCTCGAGTGGTGCACAGTCGAAGACAGCGGAAGATTGATGAAGAATTTTGTTGATTTCAATCTCCCTGATGAGTTTTGGAATAGATTTTACAACATCGGAAGTGGAGAGTTCTACAGATTAACAAACTTCGAATTTGAAGATATCCTCTTGAGAACATGCGGTCTTGGATCTCCAAAAGATCTTTTCGATCCAAACTGGTTTGCAACACAGAACTTCCATGGACATTACTACTCGGGCAGTGATGTTCTCGAGAATTATCTCAAGTTCAGAGAGAATCTCCCAACAGAAGAATACTTCGAACGCATGTGCAACAATGCACCACTTGAGTTCAGATTGATGAAGAATGTCAAAGTTGTTAAGAATGTTTCATTCCTCGCAAAGCCTTTCATGAAGATGATTGCATGTGATAAAGACTTCGGAACACTCGGATGGATCAACAATAACGACAAAAAACGTCTTGACTGCTTCTATGGAGGAAAAGAAAATTTCGATAATTTACCAAACAACTGGTCAGAATATGCAATCAAACACTATGATACTAATGTATCTGCATCAGAGAAGTGCAAGTTGGATCATGGTTACGACGAAACAAAACCATTCGAATCTCTCACAATCGAAGATCTTCAGAAGGCAGCAGAGTTCCGTGGAGGAAAACTCATCTCAACAGAAGTTAATAAAATGACAGAAAAACTCATCTGGAAGTGTGGTCACTGCGGAAAAGAATTCGAAGCATCTCCAAATCTTATCCTGCGTGGAGGACACTGGTGTCCACACTGTTTCATCCCTCAGACTGCATGGGACTATGGAAGGATTGCAGAGAATAACAAGTTCTTCGCACAAGTATGGTATCCACATCACAATCACGAAGAGAAGAACTACTACGATTTCAACGAGATTTTCGACAAAGAATGTTTCGATACATATTCCAAGAAGACAAAGAAATCAGTTTCATCATCGAACCAGTACATCTACTTGACAACAATATTTGTCATCCTATTATTGATTTTAACACTCTTTACTCTCATTCAAGGAAACTTCTCACTTATATAAGTTTTTATTTGTTTGTAAATATTATAAATTTTAACTAAATATAAATTAAATATTTCGAAAGATGTAGGAAATTTTAGAGGAAAAAAACATTCATTCAAATTTTAAAACAAAACTAAAATATGATAACGAGACTATCTTCTGGAAGAATGTTACATGACCTTCTATGTCTCTAATTTCAATCAGCATTTTCTGAACATATTAATTCATGAATAAATAAAACAAAAATATATATACTTTTTTCGAACTCTAGCAGAAAACTAAATTATTCAAAATGCTAATCCGTTTTTTGGGGATTATTTAATAATTATTCAATTTCTAAATATAAGAATTATTCACATGAAATCTGATATTTCTTTTATTAAACAAGCTATATTTAAGTTTAAAAATGTTATTTCATCTTGTTTTTCACAGCAATAGTGCTGGGAAACTTATTTATGGATATGATTCAAAACAAGTCATTGGATGTACAGCAGATTTTAGTGGTGAAATTCTTATTCCTCAAAATGTCACTGAAATATATAACCAGAATTTTGGTAGTTCAGTATTTAAGAACTGTAAAGATTCAATAACATCACTTAAATTCGAAGCAAATAGTAAAATTATCAATATTTATTCTTATAGTTTTTATTATACAAGTCTTGAGTCAGTAAATCTTAGTGAGTGCAAAAAACTTAGATATCTTCCTGATTCACTCTTTCAAGGATGTAATTATTTGAAAGAAGTTATTCTTCCGCCAAATATTACAAGTATCGGAAGCCATTGTTTTGAAGGTACTCAAAAGCTCAAATCAATAGATATACCAGATTTTGTGGTAACTATATTTGATTCTGCTTTCTCCTTGTGTAGTTTGACAACAATAAATATCTCTCCTGATTCTCAATTGAAAAATTTAGGTTTTTATTGTTTTAAAATGTCAAATCTTTCTTCAATATTTATTCCGAAATTTGTAGAATCAATATATTCGAATGTTTTTCAAGATTGCACTAATCTTGGAAATATAACAATTGATCCAGAAAATGAAAATTATAAAAGTGATACTCATGCAATTTATACAGGAGCAGATAATTCGACACTATTTTTAGTTGGCGCTGCATATACAGGTGAGTACACTGTTGCTAATTATGTTACAAAAATTTATGAATATTGTTTTACTGATTCAAAAATTTCATCCATCAAACTTCACAATGGTATTACAACTATTCAACAATATGCATTCTATGCTTGTAAATCATTATCAAATATTACAATCCCAGAAGGTGTAAAATCTATTGGATATAATGCACTTGAATATTGTGGATCATTAACAACTGTATTTATTAATGGAAATATATCATCAATTGAAAGCTATTTATTTAGTGAATGCAAATCAATTTCAAGTATTTCAATTCCAGAAAGTGTCACAAAAATCGGAAGAAATGCATTTTTTAGATGTTCATCATTAACAAACATTTCATTACCTTCAAGCCTTCAATTTATTTTTGATAGCGCATTTAGTAGTATATGTGGAAGGGTTGTGTGACTTTTTTTGTAAACGTAAGAATTCATGCAATATCGAGCGATTTTGTATCATTTTTTTTAACATATGAAGTAAAAAATGTATGATTCTGACGGTTTTTATTCTTACGTTTTTGAATAAATCAAGATTTAAAAAATTTTCAAAATTGTAAGACATTTACACTCAGCCCAAACATAATGAAATAAACACATTAAAAATTAACATTAATTTTAAAATAATTTATCTTTTATCTTTTATAAAAGAAGCTATATATAGATGATGTCAGATATTCCGCGATTAATTAAACATTGTTTAAATCCTGAATGGAATCATAATCAAAGACCTCATAAACGAGAATAAAAGATTCACTACCATAATGAAATAAAAAATAAAAAAATAAACTTTAAAAATTCATGTCTCACATTTATGAAATCAATTATTTTTATTTTGTATGAAATGAGCGTCAAAACTAACAACGTTAAAAAATTGGGATTCACAAATGAGGAAATAAAGGATATATTAGATGAGATGTGTTATGAAGTTAGTAAATATTATTTAAGAAATTGTCAAAAATTTGCCGAGTTATTAAATGATTTAGATTATGATGGAAAAATGAATAAAGATGATGTTATAAATTTCTTATATCCCACATCTGAAGAAGAAAAACCTAAAGAACCTGACGTTTTCCCTGAATATTATGAAGAACGGATTAAAGATGATGAATACGATGAAATTGAAAAACTGGAAAAAATAAGAGATGAAATAGATGAAAAAATTAAGGAATTAAGAGAAGTAGAGGATTTAATGAATATCCCAGCTTCAGAATCAGCAGTTCAGAAATCTCATGAAGAAAGATATAAAAATTATGTTTATGAATCAACACAAAATTTATTAGATGGTGAAATAGACGAAACACTTTCAGAAGAAGGTACTAAATTTATTCATAAACATAAGTTACAATTTATTGATAATGAAAAATACCCTTGTATCTTACTTTCACCCCCTCTCGATTCTGAGAAATTCAAAAAAGCTCTTAAAAACGTGACATATGCAACTAATACGATTAAGAAAGAAGATCATGATATTTACACAAATTATTATTTAAATAAATGCACAGGTGTTGATAAAGTTTTTGATTTATTAGATAAAATATCAAAAGAAACCATTGGAACCTATAAAATTTTGTGTGATTGTGGTTTCATTATTGAAGATACCAATAATGTTTCATATGAAAGAACAGCACCGAAGGAAGATGAAGTGGAAAGGTCTATACCATTCGTTATTAAGAATATAAAAGATATGAAAACGTATAAGCATTATATTTATTCATTTATTTCAGAAAAAATGGAAGCAACCCATAAAACATCTTCTCATCATTTTATAGCTATTCATACATTCCTTTTCAAAGTTGTGAAATTAAATAAGACAGGAATTAGATTTAATGTATCAGGGTACGCATTCTTGAGTAAATTAAAATGTATTCGTCACGTCGCAGATGATAAAAATTTATGTGTTCTTAATTCATTTTATGGACTTTAAAGAATAAACTTTATTTTTATTTAATTTTTATTCTTACATAAATGAACAAAAACGGAACCGCTAAAATGAATGATAATCAAATTAGAGCAGAAGGTAGAAGGTTATTTAAACGCTTCTATAACATTCCTGATGGTGTTAATCCTAAAACTCGTAGAAGCTATTTAAATGAAGCAATAGATTCATATGAAGGGTTTGACATTTCATCAGAAAGTGAGAGATTAGCGAGAATGTTAAATGTTAATATTGATTTCTATTATTGTGATCCTCAACCAGAAGACGTGGACATAAATAAGGTAGACTTTCCATTAGTGGATTCAATAATGATAGATCCAGAATTTGAAACAGTAAATATTTATTAACACAGAGTCCATGTGGAAAACTTCACGCTGACAGAATAACAGACGTTGAAGCACTCACCGGCTATAAAGTTTGTCCATATTGTAAAGAAGAAGTTTATTCTATCCGTGATGATCCAGAAAGGAAAAACCAAAGAAGATTTTTAAAGCATTGTGAGAAATGTAAAGAAAATAATGGAAGATTAATTCAAGACGTTCAGTTGCAAAAGACCCAGCAACCATATGCACCACATATTACGAAACAGAAGATATATCAGTGGTTATTAGCTCATAATTTGCAGGAATATTATCAACCGACAAGATATATATATTACTTTTGACTTCGAAACATTAGAGACTAAAGAAGAATTACAACTTTCTGAGTGTGCAACTTTGAACGCTTACTTAAAACCATTCATGGTATCATCAACGGTTAAATTAAACGATAAAACATATACGAGGAATTTTTGCTTAACTTCGAGTGATTCTTTTATTTCTGATTGGATTGAGTTTTTATTTTCAACCTGTTCATTAGTTGCTAAATCAAATATTGAACAATATGAAGAATTAATGAAGTCGCAAACATTAAATGAAAAACAGAAGGAAGCATTTAAAGAACTTCTAGATGAGGAATTCAATAAAGTGAATATCATAGGTTTTAATTCGGGAAAGTTTGATTTAAATTTAATTCTTCGTGATTTAAACACTGCAAAATGGAAAATAAAATCAATGCTGGGTTCATCTTCACAATTTAAGCAAATCATTGTAAAGAAAACAAACGTTCCATATGAATTGAGATTTATTGACATCAGAAATTATATAGCGGGGGGACATTAGACCAATTCACTCAAGATTTCGGAAATAATAAAACACGTGTTAAATCCTTTTTCCCTTATCAATTCATCACATGGGAAAATTACGAAGAAGAATTATATAAAGAGGAACCATTCACGAAAGATTCATTTTATTCAGCATTAACTCAAGAAACTATATCAGATAGTGATTATCAAATGTATCTCAATGATGCTAAAAATTTTAAGAATAGATTAGAATATTTTATTCATTATTGCAATAAAGATGTTGAAATTATGATTGACCCAATCGATAAAATTATTGAAGAAACATTTGTTTATAAAATTGATATGCTTCATAATCTTTCTTTATCATCGAATGCTTCAATGATTCGTTACGCTTTAGCATATAAAGACTTTAATCCTAATGAAAAATATCCTGAGGAAGAGATAGAATCAAGTTTTGAATTAACGAAAAAGTATTGGAAATATAAAATTGAATCATATAAGAAACAAGATGAAAAAGCAGAAAGAGATACTAAAAATAATGTTTCAATGGATGATTTTCAATACTATCACGATTTAATCCTTTCATCTAAATGCAAAATGTGTGGTAAAGTGTTTACATATGCAAATAAACCAACATTGGATAGAATCGATAATGAAAAACCACATACCAAAGAAAATTGTCAGTTAATGTGTTGTTATTGCAATGTCGTGAAATCAAATAAAGATGACGATGTTCAACGTTTAAGAATCAATTTAAGAAATTATGCATTAAAAAATAATTTACCAATGACTTTAGATTCAGTTGAAGCTTATCACATTCTCCGTAATGGAATTACTGGTGGTCTATCAAATGTTCAACATCGTGTTAATCTTAAAGGAATCACGCACATTAATAAACTTTCATATAATCCAGAAACTAAAACTGTATCAAATGAGGACACTTCCAACATTATGACTCATTTCGTTGGTGTTGACTTTAATTCATTATATCCTTCATCATTTTCATCTAATCCTCATGATTTCATTCAATATACTGACCATAAAATGTATATGCCGGGAAGATTGAATGGTGTTATCATTTGTGATACAGCAACAAAGAAAGCAAAAGCACTGGGAATAATTAAGAAGAAAAATACTTTATTCGTGGCTGAAGTAAAGGGTCACATTGATGAAAAATACATTAATGATTACATAAACTTTTTACCGATAATAAGAAACTTAGATATTATCACAGATGAAAAAACAATTGGCAGTTTTATGTATAATTACATGAAATCAAACAATCTACCAGTTGACCAGAAACAGAGAAAATTAACTCAATTAGCATCAACACACAACCAATATCAACCATTTTCTTCTTATTATCTATGGTATCTAATAGACAGATTTCATTTTATCATTGATGACATTCAATCAATTTTAACATTTACGAAAAACACTTTTTTAATGAATTTGCGAACAAATTTATGAACGAAAGACAAAAGGCTGAATTAGAAGGAAATAAAGGAAAAAGTTTATTTTGCAAAATTTCACTTAATGGATCATATGGTTACGATGCAATGAATACACAAAATTACGCAAAGACTAAAATAATGAATGCACAGAGGGCACGCGTTGCATGTATGTCAAATAAGTTTAAAAACATAAGAGAAATAAGTGAAGATACATATCAAGTGATGCTTAAAGATAGATTTTATAGATGTGATACATGTTTACAAGAGGCATTCTTCACTTTAGATAATGCTAAATACTGGTATTTGGTTTTCATTTATGATTTTATGTATAAATGCATGGATGTTAATCGTTTTCATTTCATTGAAGGTGATACTTTCATCTTATTGGGCTATTGCTGGCGATCCAAGTCTTCCTAACACTCAAGCATTTCAAGCAATTGTTACAGATAAACAATTTTATGATAAAAACATTTTCAAATTCGCACCTTTTGATTTCTTCTGTTTTGATGAGAAATTTAAACCTAAATTAAAGAATAAAGCTGAAGAAAAAGCACATGAGAAGAAGTTATTGGGTTTAGCAATTGAGAAACAAGGTGATAACATGGTTGCTTTATGCCCTAAGTGTTATACATCATTCAACGGTTCAATTGATGGAAGTGATTTTAAAAAGATTGCACAAAAAATGAAGGGTGTTAGTTTAAGACAAAATAAGCAATTAACACCTAAAAAATATTTGGATATAATAAATGATAAAGTGATATTTGATGGTCAAAATATTAATTTACAACTTAAAAACGGGTCAATGACTCGCTTAACAATCGGTAAGACTGCATTAACAGGAGCACACACTAAGGCTGTATGTTGTGAAAATGGATGTTGTATGCCATTTATTTAAT